TCCAAGGCACCTCCAATCTTGGACTGATGCTAGGTGGCCGAGACTATGTCTCCAAGCCGTTTCTATCCGCTTATGTGGATGCAAACTATGCTATGTGCCCCGATACTCGACGCTGTGTCAGTGGATTTTTTATCCTATTTTTCAACAGCCTTATTTCATGGCTTTCGAAGAAACAAGGTATCGTGACTCTGTCAACGACCGAGGCCGAGTTTGTGGCTCTTGCTCTTTGCATCCAAGAATGTTTATACGTTCGCCAACTCGCTGCCGAATTACATCACACTAGTGATCAACCGATTTCGGTTCATGAGGACAATCAGTCTGCTATCAGCATCGCCCAAAATGCTGAGCATCATGGGCGCTCCAAGCACATTGATGTGCGTTTTATGTTTGTTCGGGATCTCGTTGAGAACAAGGAGTTTATACTCCATTATTGCCCTACCAAAGAACAACTTGCGGACTTCTTTACGAAGGCGCACCCGGAACCGGCGTTTCGCAGGTTCTGCCTCGCTCTGCGACTCTCTCTATGCCCTTGGTGATTACCTTTGTGGTCGTGTACCCGAGTGACCCTTGCCTATGGCATTGCGTTTACTTTATTTTTAAGCCTTCTTTTGGCTGTTATTGATATTTATCATGCATTCTTTGCACCTGCTTTCTAAGCACAAACTTTTCATTTACCGCTTTCTTTCTCGCCCTCGACCATGTGGCGACTTGTGCACTCTCACTGCAGCCGAATTTCAAGTCCTGTGGGATATCATACAAGTGCAGTTGACAGCAAGGTGGACCGAAGGTCGTGTATCGAAGAGCAAGGCAAGACCAAAGGACGCGGTGTTCATGACCCTCACCGTATCAAGCACTACCAAGCATGGGAGGAGTACGCCATCGACTTCGGCTGCAAGGCGCCTACATTTCGAAAGATGGTGCTTCGAGTGATCGACGTCGTCGAGCCCGTTTTTTCGTGACATTTCTTCGGCATCCCGACTATGTCAGAGCTGCGAGCCAAGAGCACGTTGTTCGACAACTATGCTACCGATGTCAAGCTTCAGCTCACGGAACGACCAGGCGGATGTCACGGTGAATTAATGGTGTATTTCAGCTGCAAGAACAAGCTCTACGGGTTGAAGATTGAGGCCTCCGTGTCACCCGAAGGATTGATGGTCGACATGTGCAACAACGCGCTTGGTTGCTGACTTGACCATTTTGCGCAACCGTCAAGGGCTGAAAAAGTCCGACCAAGAACTGAACATCGAAGACCACGGCGAGCAGGCAGGAACCCACGGTTCTATCTGGGCGTTTTTGGTTGACAAGGGATACTACGGCGTGATGACAGACTTGCGAGGTGTGCACCCAAAGAAGAACCCACCAATAGGCCTACTGGAACGCGACGACGATGAGCGGAACCGTCAAGTGTAGGCTGACCGCGAGCTTGTGGAAAACCGTGTGTGCTTGTTGTGGAAAGTGTCGTATGCGAGTTTTACGTGGGGACAAGTGTTTCGACAACATCCAACACATGACGTTTGCATTGACAAACTATCATGTGTCCCTCCTCCCATTGCGAGCCAGCGACCAAGAAACTTACCAAGCCGTGTTGGCGAGGTATGAATCGATGGCTCATTCGAATGCGTCGGGTCGAGCTGAAGTGCAGCGCCAGTCGCGTTCCCATCGCGTCGAAAGATTTGCTGTCATCCACAGCAGATACAGCCGTCATTTAATGCGTGGTTTGTTTTCCCCCAATTCGTCGCAAAGCCCATAAGTTTAGTGTTCCTGGTCGAGGCCAAGCATTTATTATGAAACGATTTTGTATATAAACGATGAGGAATAGTTTAAAAAAAGAGTTTTGTGGCACTGCCGTAAGGCCCTATGCTATATTTCACCCCTCACACTCAAAGTGCTACTTGCAATAGGCACCCAGCATTTCACCAGGGTATCCAGTGCACCACGATATAATCGCGGAGGTATCCTCAAACTGAAAGTGACTTCTAAATCGTGGTACCGCTCATTGCAATCGGTCCCGAGTTCAATCCCAGCTCAAGACCAGTTATATTTCGAGGCTAGTTGCTAATATCCAAATCACTTCGCAAAAAGTTATTCATGGTAGTATTTAGGAAAGCTAGCGGTCTTTTGGAAATTCTTCGATTTTTAATCTGTTCAGCGGGGGATAACGCGTGCTTGGGGTTTTCACGATTGATGGGGTAGTTGCGTGTGCTTGTATCGACCGACTAACGTGAAAATCGTGTTGCTGATCCGGAGCATGATTATTATGACAATGCATGTATCATGCGTAATACTGCAGCGCTAGTATCACAGGCATGACGTACTCTATCACGATCAATACAGGACCAATTCCAATAGTGAAATTGGACCAATTTTGGCCGAGATAGTGCAAGTCATGTCTGTAGTGGTAGCGCGACGTGATGCCATCGGCACGTCCGAGAGGTGGCGAGTCCATGTCTGCTTGAATGAGGCTGGTTCCACCTCTGAGTACATCTCTCGGTGGTGGACCAGTAACGTACATGCATTCATGGCTTTGTCATCTCTCCGACGTGCTACATGACAGGCGTCGGTTATTGCTACTGACACGACCAGCTCTATCTCGACCAATACTGGTCCAATTTCACTCATTGGTCAAGGTAGAGCGAGAACGTAGCTGAAGTAGTTGCAGATCTGCTTCGAACTGCCCTAGAACAATACCCGGTACGTACCGGTATGACATCAATAATACCTGCATGGTAGTAGAGTCCACTTTTGATACTGGACTCCACAACGACGACTGCATGACGCGAGTTGCGGACGCGTGATAAGAAAAGCACTGCAATGAACCCTTCGTGAGAGCCATCCGCATCAACACTCGGGCCATATTCTGTTTGCACTCCTCCTACTTTGCACGAGATCCACAGGGCGACCGCAACGACATCCACTACGGTGCGCGCACCGTGGTCCGATGGGCTTATCATGTACTCCGGAGTACGACTTGTACTGTACATGTTGAGCCCATCGGACCATAGCGCATGCAACCATCTAGCGTGTCTCAGCGGTAGCCCAGTGGATCTCGTTCATGTTGACCCGCCCATTGTCCATAACAATGCTGACATTGATGATTTTGTAGGTACAGTATGTACATAACGTTGTCGATGGAGTTGTCGCGGGCCGCGGGGAAAATTCGGACGTTCCGTGACTAGCCTTGATGAGTACATATATTTCATATATCCTGACAAAGGTAATCCGTGTACATGAAAAATCAACTTGTGGAGTATAGTGATGCCATGTGGTAATAAATATGTCAAGCATGTATTGCTCTGTTTGATACAATATAACTGCAATCTACAGCTCAATGGTTAGTTTGTCAGTTTTTCGACCCAAGGGTCCCGAGTTCTTTCACCCGGATTTTTGTTTCCAAGTACCCCTAATACTATTTTCAATTAACGTTACAAGCGGTTCTTTGGAACATGCCTGGGTTTCCTGTTCACAAGTTCAGACTATGGCTACTAGTACATGCTTGTCAAGGGACACTGACAGTTGCGTGCGGTGTGGACCTTGATTGGTAGTATTGCTGCATGCGTGGACGCAGTGTGAGGAGTAGTGGCCTTCTCAGGTGCGTTAGTGATACTTGGTGGAGTACTATGTAGTAGTTGAATTCACCGAGGTGGTGTTGGTGGTTACGTGATAGTTGTGTGCGAAGCGTCCTGCCTAGTGGTGTAGCGTGGACAATGTGTTGTGTTGAATATGACGAGCATCGCAGACGTGTGGACGAAAGCCCGTTGTGCGAGAGGTGTATGGGGAAGAATAGCGGATTGTATGGTGGAGTTGGTTGGTGGTGTGCGCAACACCAACCAACACCACCATACACTCCTCTATCAACCACCGTGACCAATAGCTGGTGGCGCAGGTAGGTGCCTCGAGGTGAACTTGGATGTGGTAAACATTAGCGATGCTTGGGTCTTTGCTGGTGGTTTTCGTGAATGTCTGGGAGGTGGCGGAAGTGGTGAGCCCCGTAGATGCCTTGTAGATGTTCGGAGGGTGTTGGGGTATAGGTCGGGCGTGGAAGATACCCCTGAGAATTAGAGTAATATTCTACCGGTAATATTAACTGTAGTTACCAGGACTGTGAAACCCGCCGCTGTCGCGGCGGAAGTCGAGTTCATGAGCGGCAACAGAGTGCCGGTATATGCAAATGCAGCATGTATGCAATCGCAATCGGGCAACCGAAAGTGGATTATGGAGGATAATAGCAGAAAGCTAAGCCAAGGATTTCTTCGACGCTTTTTTAGCACTGGTCGAGGAGCCACTATGTGGGGAGATAAGGCTCTTTCTGCATGTACAGGACTGGTTCCACAACTGAGGGCATCCCTCATCGGTGGGACCATTCAAATAATGAATGATCTGTGCGTGTGCATGATTGGTCAGCGCCGTAACTGCGCATCACTTGCAGAGGTGGAATTTCTCTACCTAGTGCACGTGTGTGATGCATCGCATTGGCACTCGAAACGAGGTGGTTGACACGTGTATGAGGAATTACTGCCCTTGTTTTGTGTACAGGATTGTTCCCATAGCTGAGGACATCCCTCAGCTATGGGACAAGTCGAAGAATCAGTGATATTGTGTAACGGTAGCGAGGTTCACAGAGTAAATTGGAAAGTGATTGGATTGTCGACTTTAACTACTAACTACGAAAATGTATACTATACTAAACTGCATCAAGTAAATGTTTTGCTCTACGGCTTCTTCAACGGCCTTGCCCATTAATGGTGCGACAATCTTGTTCGACAGCCTTTCCACCGTTTTATTAACGATGCGACAAGCTGTATTCTTGTTCGGCAACCTTGCCATCGTTACATTCTCCCCCAGTTGTCGACTTGGCACATTGGATTCTTGAACGCAGGTTTTCAAGCAATCGTTTGAAACGGGAAACATGCTTGATGCGCTCAAGCTCCCAAGTTGCTTCGTGTTCAGGAAAACCATGCCCCTTGACCAAATACTCTTTCTTCCGATTGAACTGTTGTTCCTTAAACAGCGCTTCAACGATGTGCAGATCATTTCCCGCGTCGTCGAGAATGATAGAAGTTGCTTTGGGTATTGGTCTTCCTTGAAACCGTTCTGGGTTTTGAACATGATGCTTCAAGCGATCCACATTGAAGACATCGTAAAGCCTGCTCATGCTTCGTGGCAGCTTCAAGCGCATCGCATTGGCGTTCACAACTTCTTGTATCTTGAACGGCCCAATCAATCGTGGCCCGAGCTTCGCCTTTTCATTCTTGTTTTTGACTTGAGCATGCTTCAACGGAATGTTTCGCGTCGCTAGCATCACATAATCGCCTTCCTTGAACTTGTCGTACAAGTTCTTCTGACGAGCTTGTGCTTTCTCGAGGTGGTCAAGTGCCATGCGCACGAGTTTCTTGCGGTGTTCCGCGAAGTTCTTTGCATGCCTGTTTAGTGCCTCGATCTCGTTCAGCGCTGGGTTGCGTAACTTTCTTCGCGTATCCACTTCAAATGGTGTTAACCTCGTTGACGCTTGAACTAGGCCTTGATGTGCATATTCGATGGTTCCAAGATGTTCTGACCAGTCGTGACCCAAGTATGAGACTTGATATCTCAAAACATCTTCGAGGGTCCGATTTTGTCGTTCGGTGGCACTATCACTTTGCGCTCGACCCACCGTCGTCATGCAATGCTTGACGCCCACGATCTTCATCAACGCTTGCCAAAAATCACTCGTGAACTTGGAATCTCGGTCGCTGATGACAACTGCTGGCAAACTATGGTATCGCACGACTGCATCGAAGAACTCCTGCGCTGCTTGGAGAGCATCGACGTTCGACGTTGTCGCACAGTATGCTGGAAGCTTTGACGTTTTGTCAACGCATGATCGCATCCTTTCCGTTCAACATAGAGTTTCACGTCTTCTTCAAGACCGCTCCAATAAATCCATTGTGCAATGTGCAATTGCGTTCGCCGTACGCCGGGATGAGTCGTGGTGCTTGTGTCATGACTCCGCAAAATAATCTCGCCCTTGCGGTAGTCATCGTTTGAACGCACAACTTCCACACTTGATCCCTCGACTTCACGAAGCAGAGTCCATCCTTCTTCTCGAACTTGTCTTCGTTCTCGAACTCCTTCGTCTTGGCGTATGCTCGCACAAAGCGTTGCTCAAGTTATCTTCCATCTTGATCGATGTACGAAAACTTCTCCGCGTGGTTGATGATGAGTTAATGCGGAACTTCGACTTGGACATTCGACACATTGATTTCCTCCCCACGAGAAGGCAAGTTCATCATCAATTCCAAAATGCGATTGTTCAAGCACTTGATGTCATTCACTCCATCGCTCCATCGGTTATCACAACGATAGCAGTCGTAACACGTAGTGTCACACTCATGAACAGCGCAGGTAATCGCTTGCATGAAACTACGCGGTGC